TAGAATGGAACTATCCCATGGATCAGGAAATCGCGGGACAGCCGTTCGACGAACTTCTTATGCGGCTCTTTGGCGTCGATCAGGATGACGTCGGGGTGAACCCTCACGAAGCGATCGCGAAACTCCGCGTGGTCCTCTTGGGAGAGCTCCGGGATCTTGTTCGGGTCTTCCTCCATACGAGCTCGCCGAGAGGCGTATTGCGTTTGCAGCGCTTGAGCAGCTTGCCACACCGCTGCCAAGGACATCACGGAGAGCTCCTGTGCTGCCGCATCAGCCCCGAGCTGGGTCAAGTCATCTTGCCACAGCCGGCGGATTGTCGCCTTCGCCGAGGTGAGATCCTGCCCCAGCATTGCGAACATCTCGACTGTGAGGAGACCTTTGTCGGCCGAGAGCCTGCAGAGGGCTGGATCTAGCCCCTGTCTCCCGAAGATCTGGCGCAGGTTCAGCTTCGGGGTCGCCGCCTCATTCGCGTATGCGGTGCGATCGACCATGGCTGCCTAACGAGCTGTCTGAAAAGAAAAGCTACGGTCAGGGAGAGGCTCAGCTCGAGTGGCCATCGTGACTGCGAACAGCTGTGTTCACGGCTCCGTAAAGATCTTACCGGAACACAACGAGCACATCTGAGTACTCGGCGGAATCTCGCCGAGATCCTCGCACTCGGTGATCGCGTACCGGCCGCAGAGCGTTCGCTCCGTGCCCGTACCATCTATATACATGGCATGATATTTAAGACTCAGATCCTTTGAGGACCCCGCAGCCGATCTAGCCTTGGTGACATAGGTCAGAGCGAGATCACCGAAGTCGACCAGATTGGTATCGTCGGCCTCGAACTCCGGTGGAGATTTCCAGTCGGATGCTATCCTCTTCGTGAGCCGCTTGACCATCTCGATCGAGATCTCTTTGCGGCTCCGAGCGTACTTCAGGACCAGCTGGCTCGGATCCTTCCAGTTCGCTTGGAGCCCGATCTCTTTATCGGGCTCCTGCGCCTGGACCGCCGCCGAGAGCAGCGTGACTCGGCAGGAGTGCCAGGTGATCTCCGGCACGATCTTCAGGAGCTCCTTGAGCCGCTCGGGCGAGATGTGCCCGCGCTTCAGATCGTCCGAAGCTGCAGTAGTGAGCACGTACCGCAGCCACAGGATGCTCCGTTGGTAGCTGGCAGGCCGATCGGCGAATCGCTCAGCCGATTCGAGCTCTTTCATGAAGTAGTCGCGATCGTCCATTTCGAACGCAGCTGCGTGCCATCCGTCTTCCATCCAGTCGGATCCGGAGACGGAGACTCTGGCCGCCGCGAACCGCGTTCCCTTCTTTTGTCGCTCGACCTTAGTCTGCCAAACCACCCCATAGAGAGCCTCGTCCTTCAGGGCGAGCGCCTCGGGCACGACGTGGAGCGCGTCGTCGAACCTGAGGGACGAGTAGATCATCACGAGAACCCACCATGCGAAGAACGCCATGGGGAATTGGCTCGACTTAAAACGAGCGCACACGAACCGCTCGAGCGCCGCCACCAAGATCAGAGGGATGGGAACCGCTTCCCTCGTCTCTTTCCCGCGATCGCCATAGACCTTCTTCTGCAAGGCCATGATCCGGGGATCGAGGAGGTCGGGCAACGACAAGCCGATCCGCTTGCAGATCCATTTGACCGCCCCACGTACCGAAGGTATCACGGTGGGGCCGCAACCTCGGTCGGAGAGATCTAAGAGGTACTTGACGAGCACGTCGGTAGTCAGCGGGATCACCACTAGGTTCTGCGACCTCGCCCAAGTCTCAATCCTCTCCCAGTGACGAACGCACTGCTGGATAGTGCGGAAACCGCCACTCTCGAAGACGATCAACCTCAATGCATTCATCTCATCTTGAGACAGGGGTGATCCCGGCTTCGGGTTGCCCGCGATCGCGGCGTGCTCGCCGCACCTCTCCACGATCGCTTTCAGCCTCATGCCCCACTTTCGGGCCTCGCCGAGCTCACGGGTTTTGAGCGATGCCTGCGGATCTTCAGGCCTCGGCTCGATCGCCCGCGGCCTCTTGGCGAGCGGCAATGGCATAGGAGGCTCCTTGCCAGTCCCCTTCGACTTCAGTGGCGATCGCCCGAAGACGACCGGAGCTTCAGCCAAGCCGAATCCCAGATCAGTGGCCAGATCAGCCCAGCCCGCTGCTGCCGTGCTACGAACCAGCACAAACAACAGCTCGATCGACGGAACCCACCTGCCGAGCTCCTCCTCGTTCTTCCGCCGATCTGGCGTGTGGAGTTCCTCGAGGGCAGGGACAAGATCAATGAATGCTTGCACACACTCAGCGATCGTCCCGTCCGAAACAGCCGTGAGCTTCTCGAACTGAGCCATCCGAAGATCCACCAACCATTGGCAAAATTCATCCCCGAACAGGGGGAGGGATAGGATCTTCCGAACGGACCTATCCATGCTGGGCCTGAACAGCTGCACGAACGATCGCACGTGCCTGCTAATGGTAACCGAGCGCCGTGCCTGAGACAGGTATTGATCAATCTCACTTCCGGCAGAACATGCGCTGGGATCTAGCGCGCCGAGAGGATCGCTCGGCATGTTTGTTCCGCGGAAGAGCCCGGCTGATCCGCCAGGAGGCTTCGGTCGCGCGGCGCACCACTCTCTTAGGAGCGTGCACAAAAACCGACCATCACCTAGGCTTCGATCGACAACTACTCCGAATTGTCCATCGTGTAGGGCCCCGTTGACGATCTGGCCGGCGGGTAAGCCGGGGCGAACGCCTTCGGCACCGTGGTCGTAGTGGAGGGGGAAGCCGTGATCTCTTGGCCCGTCTCCTCCACCCTGACCGTGCTGATCCGCTCGTACTCCGCCTGCTCACGGTGCTGGAGCACGTCGGTGAAAACCTGAGGCGTGATCGCAGCCGACGTGCGCGAGAATCGCATGTCGGCCCTCATGCGATCGCGGGCATCGGTGACGACCTCCTCGGCAATCTGCTCCTGGCCGAGCTGGCCCTCCTCCGGCACCGGAACAGTGCTCACCCTCTGGTCGAACACCTGCTGAGCCGAGGTGGGCATGTTGGTGATCACCGAAGGGACCGAGGAGCCCAGCTGCTGAACCGCCTGCCGAGCCGCCTCTTCCATGAGAGCCGGGGGGCCATTCCGAGCTCGAACAGCGTTGTTCTCATCGTGCGACCGGTGGGCGAGCGCCTCCTGCCGGACGAACTCCAGTGGGCAGAGCTTAGATCTAGCCCGTACGTGGAAGTTCCCATGATCCATCGGGAACTCGTCTGTCGCAGTTCCCACTTGCACCTGTTCGTTGGCGAACGCACTGTGGTACCAGGGGGCGATCACCGCAGACAGCTGCGCGAACTGCTGGATGTGGTCTGGACCTTCCACGCGAGCACGCTGGTTCCGACAGGCCTGGATCGTGCTGATCAGAGCGGGGCCCGAGATGTGGCTGACTGTGAGCCACGTGCCAGGCACCGAAGTCCTCCCGCACTTGAGATCGATCCGGTTATTGGCGTCCCGGAACCGAAACTCACACGATCGGCGTCGTTCCCATAGCCTTCTCGGGACGAGCGTTCTGTCACCCTGAGCTCACAAGTGCTCATGGCATGGTCGCTCGCCATCACTGCTCCTCTCGGGCCGATCGTGTAGACTCGGGCTCCAACCTCGAACGAGGTCACGGAGACCTTCCATCCAACGAAGACCGAGATGACGATCGAGGGTCGGAACCATCCTTCGTTGGCTGACCGGATCAACACCTCGTCGCAGAACTGCTGCTGGACAGAAAGATCCGAGTCCGAGCGGTAGCCCCTGAAGACCCAATGGAACAGGACCTCGTTTCCATTGAAGACCTTCACATCCACATAGGTGGCCGAGGTATCGAACATCACCGGCCAAGTGAAGGGCTGGAAAGCCGGGTGCGATAGCGCCCGACTCGCGTAGGAGTCCCACTGAGCACATGGTCCCCCTGTTCTCGAAGACATCGAAAAGAGCAGAACTGCCTTGATGCCATCGAGCGTATAGTTCGCGAACAGCGAACAGTGGTAGCCCGAGTTCGGGGGCATGACCGAGTCCTGCTCCGTCAGCACATTGATCGAGCTGGTGGCATTCGAGATGATCTCCTCGGCCAGCCAGTTCTGGAACGGGGAGATCACCCGGTCATCGCGGTTGTCGATGACGAGGAGCGAGTTCTGGGTCTCGTCCTCTTCCTCGACCACGAGCTGGCGAACGAACTCAGGCCGCTGAACAGCGAAGGGGTTGTGAGCAGCAGGAGCCCCACGGTCACGACGTCCACGACGATCGTCGCGACCCCAGCCTCCAGAGCCCCAATCGCCGGATGCGGCAGCTGGAGCCGCGGGATTCTCGGGAGCCTCTGCCTCGCCTGGAACGTAGTGTCCCCAGTTACCCGGATTCTCAGGCTGACCAAGCCGGCGAGGCAACCCGAACTGTGGGGCCATCGGAGCCGCCATCTGCCGACCTTGATGGAAGCCAGCGGGAGGGAACGACATGGCTGCAATCGAGCGAGCCTATTCACTTCCACCTCCGACGCCGAATTTTTCGGTATGGCCCGATCGGCTATCGCCAAAATGGCCACGGAGAAGATAGATCAAGTCTGTTCCAACGATCGCGAAACTGATCTCCTAATTCCTACCCACCAGACCGATAATTAGGAGACATATATGTACGTACATATATGCATATATATATATATATATATATACAGTATTACATATAATACACCATAACTTGTTGTACAAATATCAGAAGACTGCCGCAGGGAGTCACGGAGCGAAGCCAATGTGCTGCCCCGTCTCAGCGAAGCCAAAGGGCTCATCCCTTCTGTCTGCTTTTTCTCGTCTTGCTGTCGCAAAGAGGGCCGCTTACACATGCGGCGTGCAATCAAAAGTGCTTCCGTCTGAGACTGGCATCAGCTTGGCCCAGGAGGTAAACTGATCACTGGTACGACCTGCTCTCTGCAGGGGAATCTACCCAGTAGCAGGGGCCGGGCCAGTCTCCGCCTATGAAAGTCAAAGACTCATTCGATGGAAAGGCCTTGGGCTAAAACTTTCTTGGACATCGCTCCGTGTGTGCACCTCGCCAGCTCAGCCTCCTCGGGTTCAGACAACAGGCAACAGGCAAGAGACCCCTAAGCTTTATGAAGCCTTATCCAGTCTCATCGGACTGTAAATTCACTTCTGCGAGCGAGGCTCGTATGGCTGAGGGAACTTCTCGCGGTGCTTCTCCACATTGCCTTCCGGGATACCCTTTAGATTATTAAAGGCTGGCGCAGCCCCAGTAAGCGTAACACCCCCAAGCCGACGCCTTGGTCCAACCACGGATTCTGATGAGAGGCCATGGCTGCAGCGTACATCTCAATGCCCTCCTTGGGCCAGTTGCATGTACCGACTTGGAGACTCACACCGGGATGTCTTGCGGTTACGTATCGGGGCCTGAGTCTCATGCGGCATGCTTGAGGCCGTGGACATGCAAGACATGCACCAGTGTCCTGGATCTTGGCTGCCAGTGTGTCAACCGAGTCGGTGTAAACCTCGCTAGGTTTGCACATCAGCACCCGTGCGTTCCGAAGATTCGTGGCATGTCTCGGGTTTGGCCTGGGAGGTCATTGGGCAGCCTGATCAGCAGAAATGCTAGAGGCCTTCGCAAGCCTTGGAGCCAAGGGCTAAGCTGCCTCCTTCCTGCAGCCGAGGTCACGTTATTGTTGTTGTTGAAGCTCATGGTACCACATGCCTCACAAGAGCGGGCCATGAGCCGAGCAAGCTGTACAACAACCTTTCTCATTGACTTCGGGGCTTTTTGTGGCACCTATATACACAGAGCTGCCCGGGCAAAGCCACAAACACAAACCGGTCGGGACCACATAACGACAAGCATCATTCAGCCGTCCGGTGCAAATCTGGCCGTAGCTCAATTCAGCTCGAATCTCAATGGCGATCAAGGTTCTTAGAACCCTGACGGCAGACTCCAAGCCCGAAGCACACAACCCCCACATGCACAAGGCCACGACAGTGTCACAAGCCAAAGTGCCAGCTTCAGGCGACGAAGCTCGAACTGCAGGATAAGCAGTCCTCGAGGGTTTGCCAGCCATCATCTCCGAGGTGCTGTATTGCAGGGAGTTTGGGAAGCATCTTGCATTTGCCACTTAGGGGGTGCTTCTCACTGTGAACGGGGTGTCCAATCTCAAGCATGTGCGAAGCGCACGAGCTGGGTCGCAGGTGCCCAGAATCCATGCAAAGGTTCGATGTCCAGACAAAGAGTATGGCTTTACAGTGCCGAGGGTGAAAGAAATTCTCCAAAGCGTCGGTCAACAACCCTAACAACCTTCAAAGGCACTGTGCTTTCCACGTGTTCCATTCGTTTTGGCACCACATTGTGGGAGACGCGCACATACACAAGACTCTCGCAAGGTACCACGCCTGACATGCACTTGGTGCTGTTGCTGCTACCTTCAGGACTGCTATTGCTGTTGCTGCTGCTGGTGCTGGTGCTGGTGCTGGTGCTGTTGCCGTTGCCGTTGCCGTTGCTGCTGGTGGTGGTTGAGTTGGGGGGTGGTGCTGGCGGAGAGCAGCAGGACCAGGAGGCGTTTCTGTCGTGACCTGTAAATACAACAGCGAAAGTCGCCCTTGCTGAGGCCTTACTGTGGCTACTCTCAGCTGAGGCAATCTTTCCCAGCTCTTGCCTTCCAAGTTCTTACGATACCCTTGCTGCTGCAAGCCAAGTTGCGGCTGCGACCATTGCGGTCTGGAAGCGGATGCAGATACGCCAGATTTTTCCTCGGATTTGCAAGGCTCAGCCCACCAAAGGCAGGAATAGGGAATACCACCCCAGAATGCAGGGGCTCATACAAGAACTTACAAGGCCGCTCTCCCGCGGCATAGTTTGGCTTAATTAATTTATGTTGAGCTGTAGCATGTACGGCCTGAGGTTGCTGCGAAGCTGGTCTTCTGCACTTTACCGGTTGCATCAACAGTATCAAGCTTCGAGGTTCTGGTGACTGGGCCTGGCACGAGATTGCAATTCAGCTGCAAAATTCATAAAGTCGTTGGCAGCATCGCCAACGCTTGACCCCAGCTGGAAATATGCTGCTTTTGTTGGCCGCCCAGTCCCTGCGGCACTCCCAGCCGCCGCAAGTCTTTGTGAAGTCTAGGTCCGAGTCAAGCAGTATCCGAAGTGCAACCATGCAGTAAATCCCTGCCCTACTACTGACCGCTGACAGTCCGGCATTAGCCCTTGACCCAGTACACCGCCACTGCAAGACCCTGTTCCCTTGGCCACTGCAGCTGCGGCTCATGAGGGAGGCCAAAGCACGGAGACGGCCCGTAGTCGTTGAGGCTTTGCTCAAGGTCTCGTGATAGCTTTGAAAAAGCTTCCTGAGACTGGCGACCGGGGATTTGAAGTGTTGTGCTTTCTTCATTCCATAAAAGCCAATGCGCGCAATGTAGAGGGAACCAGATCACTAAAAGTTATGCTGTTCGGTCTTGTTACATTCAAGATTGGGCCTTGAGAACAAGCCTCAACCCCTACACATCCGAAAAAGATGCCCTTCGTAAGCCTGCCAGTAAAACCATTTCGCAAACAAGTCTCTTCATGGTGGCTTGGACAGGGAGTTTTATGGCACGGCAGGGCTGCCCACTGGGAATGCAGCGGCTGTCATACAGGTCTTCCATGTCTGTGGAGAACATGCCGGCGAGGGCATCCGCAGGCACGGAGGATTTGATGCACGAATAGGCCTCATAGCATGGGCTGTCGACGACAGACCACACCCACAATTGCCTGCTTTTGTTGTTCTACACCCTCCCTTTCTCCTTCAATCCTGCAAGATCCGCAACCGGCAAGGATGCGAAAAAGTCATACTACTCGAGTAGTACTACTAGCAACACTACAGCACACTAGCACCAGGGCGGTACAGACGAGAGAGCTTAGCAAGTTTGGGGTTCAGGTTTGGTTGCTGGCGTTGACTGTTTATGGATTTATAGAGTTCATGCAGCGTTGAGCATTGACCCATGGTATGGCTTAGAGCAGTTGCACTTCTGGCTGTGAGCCTTTTGCCGCGATCTTGCGCATATCTTGCAGGGTAGACCTCTCAATGTTTGTAGACCCCGAAACCCCGGAAGTCGCCTTCCGGAAATCCCTCCCCGGCAACTTCTCCATCTCGAAAAGCCCAGCATAGGTGTCGAAAAAAGGCCTCAGCGCCGCATGCTCGCAATCTCGTGTGAGATATCTTCACTCACAAGTGCGTGGCGCTGAAGGCTTGAAATCATGTTCAAGACTTACAGTGCAAAATGGTGACTGACATGTGTGCAGTGGTGGTGCCTGCATACAGTATCGAACTGTGCCGTGGCTTACAACAGAGTGCCAGTTCCCTCGCTTTTCCGATCCGTCCTGGTTCTTTCGCCAGGGCTATGGTGTACGGGGTAAAAGGGTTTTACCGTCCTGGTTCTCTCTCTCTCTCTCTCTCTCTCTGCCGTGCCATCATCAAGTGTCTCGCAATGCAAGGGCACGAAAAAGCAGGCCAGAATATCAGGAGGCATAGCGCGAACGCTGAACCTCCTTCATCCTTCGGGCCCACTGAACTGGACAAGAACTTACCTCTACCACGACTTGTTGGGCCGCCATCCGTCCTGGTCATGGCTCGTAATTATTAGTGCCATTTAAGACGACAGTTGTCCAGATGCCGCACAGAACGAAATCCCATGGTCTAGGCTCGATGCCTGTAGTCGTGTTCCTACAAGTCGTTCCATCATGTGTTCGCGCCGGGGCGCATCCCGAGCGACTTTTGAATGACCTGGAAATCGACAAAACCTATCGGCTCATCCTGGCGATTCCTCTGGAGATCATAGACGACCTGGAACAGCCCAGGACATGGCTTGCATGTCTTGCAACTGAACAAAGGAAAGATTTGTTGCTTCTCGGTATCAGTGACGGGTGTCACTAAGTTAGCACCAGCACAACTCCCAAAACTCGAATGAGACATGCGAATGCAGCACGACCTTTACCCGACCCTACTTGGCGAGCTGCCAAGCCGGAAGAGCTGCTTCAACCGTAAAGGCAATTTTCCCGCTACCTCATCCTATTCAGAATTCGGCCCACCTTCAAGGTGTCCAGCATGTTCTGCGTGTAAGCCTTGGAGTTCTACATTCTCGGGGACCAAGACAGACTGTGCAGGACAATGGATCGGAGCCGCCCTATTTTGCAGATACTGTCAGGTGGCCACCACAAACAGGACCGAGGGGCTGATCCATAGGCCTCCGAGCCTTCAGAAGCATTCTTCCCGTCGATGAAAATACCTTGGCAGAGCCACATGATTGACCGGAAGTTAAACAAGCAGAAAGAGCCTCGAATCTCCTGCTGGGTTGGTACAGCGGAGGCCAAAAAACTCATGGAGTCACTGCTCACAGTAGCAGAGCTGCCCCATGCCGGCGCGTCCAATGCGTCCGAGCAGTCGGATGCGAGAAGGAGCGCTGATGCTTCCAGAACGAACGCCGAGACCAGCAGTGCCCAAGCTACAGTTTTCATAGCGGATGGTAGGAGCCAGAGCGGCTTCGGGAAAGGCGAGAGCTAAAACGTACGAAGTGGTAACATGCAACTGTGTAACATTGAGTATTTGTGGCTCTCCCGAGGCCCCTTCGCAGATACTCGAGACTCGATTCTCGCATCCATACCCCAAGAGTATACAGCTTCAGATGAGTAAAGCTGCAGGTCGAAAAACTGAAACGCAAAGACTAAACTTGACTCCCGATTGCGCCTTCAAGTTGTCGGGCAACTCAGACCGTCCTGCGTATCCAGGATTCCTTGTGGCGAAAAGGACAGCAACGAGCGTGGCTAGGGTAGTAGCCGCGATAATGTAGACGCATTACCGAGTGTTTGTAACCTGCTTCCAAGAAGACGACGTCCTCGGACTGCTGGATGGTTTTGTTGCAAAATACACAGAGTTTTGTGCTTCTTCTTCTGAGCCCCAAGTCGACCATGATGCGGATCCTAACGAGCACTTGGAACCTGCAACCTTCTTCAGGAAAGAGCCGTTGAGTCAGTAACTCTCTGCTGCCTGAGTTCGCCTCATGCCTGACGGCTCCTAACGCCGGAATTTCTGCGGCCCCTGCATGGTGATGTTGACGGCACAGGTTGGAATCAACTCCAGCTCTGTCTCTTCGAAGATGAAGCGGCGCTGAAGCACCAGAGAGGATTGAGCTTTGGGCACTGCAAACGAGGTCTTTGAGGATTCAGGTCTGGAGGATTCAGCCACGATATATGTATGCTCTTGTCATGAGCCCTACTAGGCCCATCTCATGCTACAGCAGAAGTAAAAGTCCGATAACAAAGTCAGCAGATGGACTCTTCAAGTTGCGCGCCCTCCGCACTGAAAACCGCTGCGAATCTTCAATGAATCAGAACCGCTTACGACTGATGCAGAAAGACCGATTCGCAACAAGTCGAGCACCTTTCCGCGCTTGACCCGTGCAACTGTTGCAGTTTGACACCGACTGAGGATTATCCTGAATCGTCGGCTGGCCCTTGTCAGTTTGCGGGTTGTAGAGGTGCCCAGAAGGTTTCGGCGCTCACACTCGGACAATCCAGACGAGGCATCCGGCTTTGCTGTTGGGGGTCCCAGCATCTGGTTCGTCGCCTTGAGAGTTTAGACTGTTGTGAAGGCGCTGGCTTCGTGCTACGCTCCGCCGAGCTGTTCACACAGGCGTCATCTATGCCTCAAAATCAAAGTCTAGGACCCCTCTCGCTTGTAACCCTTCCTGACTCCTGCAACTGCACAAATGCGTGAGGAACAGCCTCGTCACAAGGGGCGCTCCCACGCAGTCAGAAGTGTCCAGGCAGGAAACACTTTGAGGCTCCGAACCCTCTTGCACCCTGAACCTATATCTCACGGCAAAGGAGCCCACCTTTTTCATGCGGATGGCTTCTTGGATGCAGGCCACCTGCCAGAGTCAAGGAAATCCGAGAGATTGCAATTTCACCGTGCTTTCGAACTTTACCTCTTTCTCCAGGTTGAGATTGCTGCAGGGATTCCCCGCCATTTGCTCCCTGATTCCTGCTTGCCGGAACCCCAACGCCCGCCCGTCCAACAAAGATTGGACGCCAGAAGGAACTATGAAGACAGTTGAGGTTGGGGCTCCGTCAGATCTCCATTCTAGGTCCCGAATGCGTAGCAAAAAACAGTTAGCGACTCGCTTTTGGATTCCTGTGACAGAAAAACTGGCAGGCCTGCTGGGCAATGACAGACAAGACCTCCAAATCGATGCGGTTGAACCTTATCTTCTGGCGACTCGCTGACATCGGTAACATGCAACAAAACGCTACTGCACCCAAGTGCAACTTTCGGAACCGTCACGTACCGGCGGCAGTTTCAAAGGCGGAGCACGAGCAACAAGTAGGTTTACAGCGAGAATCACGACAAATGTCTGCACCGGAAAAGAGTATGGATGTTGCGCTTCCAAGCTGAACTCATGATATCGGCACCACATATGGATAACATGATCAACCCCAATCGCTTCGAACACAGCATTTGCTTGCAAAGTGCGGAATCGTTCGGCGCAGAAAATTCTAAAGCACCGCCTGCAGTGCGGTACTTTGGAAGATGCGACGGCTTCAATAGCCTGTTTCGGTTCAATTTCAATGCCAAGCCAAAGCTTGGATGGCGCAATAACTTCTGAAGGACCGCCTGCAGGGCGATGCTTTGTCCTGCCTGTGCTTCATATTTGTTCCCGACTGGCACGTGGCACTTGGGCCATCTCGCTCAGTCTGAGTTGTGGGCTCATCGAAGCAGCACCATGCTCCTGAAGATGCCAAGCCTGGCCCGGCCAAAGAAGCTACTGGTAGTTGCACGATGTTGCACGCTTCAGCGGTTTCAACTGCTCTCCAGTTCTCATGGATGTGCAAATCTGCAGGCTTGGCTACAAGGATTCAACCTGCAGCGCACCAACGCAGAGGCTACGCGAATGGCAACGGCGGAATCTTCCTCCCGTTTCTGGGAGATTAGCACTCCTCTCCAAATATGAACACCTCAAGCCCTTGCCGTGGTCATCCTAGTGACAGCTTTCATGACGGGGCCCTTACCTGTGCGATCCTATGCATCCTGCGTCCCACCGAGGGTCCTCCCTGAATAGGTCATACGAGCATTTCAGTTCCAGCCTACGGCGGCAGAAACCGAAATATAGAGCTGCAACAGCCGCGGACTCGGAACCTTCCAATCCCCTACCTTTGAAGCATGGACATCCCCCTCCGTGTCCGTGACCTTTGAAGAACTTGCCCATGGCCAAGTAGTCCAAGCCATCGGAGCAATTGAAGACAACCTTGCGCGTGGCGAGGAGCAGGCATGTGCCCTTCGTCGCTGCAACCTTCCCTCGAAGCCGGAGACGGAACTCGAAAATCCTTCAAGGCTGCTTCCAGGGAGCACATTGGACCGACATCGCTTTGGCCAAGTCCTTCGCGTCGCTCAATTGTTTAGCGGCTTAGAGATGCTTGACCTCTCACGCCACCGGTCAACAGCTACAAAGCTACACCCAGTCAGAACGTACGGCATGATACTGACGCGCACTCTTCGCATGTGGATGTGTCATGCCATTCGGGCTGCCACGCTCCGCCTGCAGTGAAACAACATAGGCTCTGCCTCAACCCCATTTTGTACAGTCCAGTACCAGTACCGATATCATCACGAGACACGACACTCAAAATCCCTCCACACTGCCAGGGGCCCTCCAACAGCAGCGACTGGGTAGGTCCAAGCTCGAACACTGGAGGGCGACGAGGGCTGCTACTCTCTGCGTAAATCGGGAGCCAGCTGAGCCACCGGACCTTTGGCATGCCCGCACGGGGGATGATGTCGAGTCCATCTGCGATGTGGGTGGCTGCTCAGAGAACAGCGATTCCGAGGAGTCGGAGTGTCAACTCACCCGTGTGAGAGGCTCACGCATGGTGGATGGCGACGGCAGCAGGCGACGTGAAGGCCAAGCTTCTCCGAGCGAGATTACAAAAGCCATTTTGCTTTCTCACGCTCGCACAAGGCAGGCAATGCTCCAGACAAGTCCGTCCATCTTGCATCTGACAACTTGCAGGCACCCATACACCACAGGAACCACAGGACGACCATTACCATAACGATTACCAAATAGACTTAGATGACCCTGAGCAAACTCCCAACCCAGAGTACCGGATGCGTGACTACACACCCCTGTTCGCATCAAAACCAAGACAAAGTCGCAGTAAGGATAGTTGTTACGCATGGCAGACGCAGTCGAGATGAACTACTGTAGTTGGCTACAACAACCAAGCTGATATGCAGAGAGAGTGTGTGTGTGTGTGTGTGTGTCCAACTCTGTTTCCAAGAGACGTGAGTGAGTTAAGCAGCAGGGGGCAGAGGGTCTCATTTCACGGCCTCTGCCAATGAAGCTCCGTGATATTGAGACAGGTAAACGTACTTGCAGTGGTCGGCATGGGCACATTTGTGCAGCTTGTGACCACACAACTGTTGATTGCGGGTAGGAGTGCAGTGCAGTTTCATGTGCAGTATCATGTGCAGTTACATGAGTGATTCGCGTTTGTCCTATGGTAGTACTTCAGATTGCATGTTCTGACTTCTCCTGACAGCTTCCGGCAATATGCACTGACTGATCAGACCTGCGACACGATGTGTCAAGTGTGCTTCACAACGGCATTCCCTATGGGCGCCGTGTCTCCCAGAGGTAGCTCTGGCGCTGACTTTCCCGACTGATTGCATAAGCATTGGATGACTTCCTTTGACTTCATATCCATGCTTGCATGCTGACTTCTTCAGTGAGTCTTTCCCAAATGCCTTCTCCGAAACTGAATGCTGATTTTCTCATTGACTTTGTTATGATCTGGTTGAATTTCCCGAACTGACTTTACCGCTGACTTGTCGCAGGTCTTCGGCTGCAAGTTGAGTACATGAGCTGTACTTTTGGTAGTTGCAGACTGTTGTTTCGCAACAAAGTCAAGCAACAATTTCTGGTCTGAGCCAGCTACTGTCAATAAGTCCGGAAGGGCGTGTGTACGTCAACCGGTGTTTCGAACGGAGTGATTGGTTCAGTACATGTTTTTGCTTGCTTGTGCGACTCGTAGACTGCAGTTTCGCGACATGAGTGCGGTTTGCATATGTTGGAATGCGTAGACTCTGCAGTTTCGTGACATGAGTGCGGTTTACATATGTTGGAATGCGTAGACTCTGCAGTTTCGTGACAGGAGTGCGGCTCGCCTATGTTGGAATGCGTAGAATTCAGTTTCGTGTCATCAGTGCGGTTCGCCTATGTTGGAATGCGTAGACTCTGCAGGTTCGTGACACATGAGTGCGGTTCGCCGATGTTGGAATGCGTAGACTCTGCAGTTTCGTGACATGAGTGCGGTTCGCCGATGTTGGAATGCGTAGATTCTGCAGTTTTGTGACATGAGTGCGGTTCGCCGATGTTGGAATGCGTAGACTCTGCAGATTTGTGACATGAGTGCGGTTTGCTTATGTTGGAATGCGTAGGGCGTAGACTCTCTGACATGAG